ACACTTTGAGCCGTGTGTTCCAGGACAATTTTAACCTTTCTGCTTGAGCTCCTGAGTCAAAATTCGCAAATAATTGGCAAGCAGTGTTTCACGGTAGATATAAAAATAGTTACAAGTGTTTACCCACCGTTCAACCGGTGGCTGGGCATTACGTCATTTTTCTCTACCACCGGTAAAACGGTGGTCAGGGTTCAAAGGGTTAAAACACAAAACAGGTCGTATTGTAAGCTCTTATATGTCTAAGATAGTTTAGAAATAGTATTAAGCGTTTGGTAGTTTATGACAATAACGCTATCAATCGACGTGTCACGGTAGCAATAACGCATATATATGTCGACAACAGGCAATATAAATTTTGTAAGGACGTATAATTAGATCTTTTAAACGTATATATATATATGTCGACAACAGTCAATATAAATTTTGTAAGGACGTATAATTAGGTCTTTTAAATGTATATATATGTCGAGAGCAGACAATATAAATTTTGTAAGGACACATAAATAGGCCTCTTAAACGTATATATATATCGACAGCAGGCAATATAAATTTTGTAAGGACGTATAATTAGGTCTTTTAAATGTATATATATGTCGAGAGCAGGCAATATAAATTCTGTAAGACCGTATAAGTAGGTCTTTAAAACGTATATATATATGTCAACAGCAGGCAATATAAATTTTGCAAGGACGTACAATTAGATCTTTTAAACGTATATATATGTTGACAGCAGGCAATATAAATTTTATAAGGACGTAGGTCTTTTAAACGTATATATATATATATATATATATATATATATATCGACAGCAGTCAATATAACTTTTGTAAAATGATGAGATATTGCTGTCAATCTAGTACTGTACTTAAATTCGTAAAACCTAGGTACGGTAGAGAAACGTTCATCAGGACAATAACGATGACATATATTTATAGGAAAGGCAGGCAGAAGCTACTTTCGAAATCTGAAAGCTCATCGGTTTAGACAAAGATGTCTTCGAAAAGCTAAGCAAAATATTAAGTAACAAGAAAACATGAAAATGTCGATAGAAACAAAGAAGAGTGCTGAACAGTTATGCAATATTGGTCCTCCTATATTGCGGTGAATGTTGGAGAATATGGCCACAGATGATGAAGAGACTTGAGGCAACAATGATACGGTTCTACAGAAGGATGGTGGGAATAGGGAATGGACATGGAAATATCATTATCACAACTCAAGTTATTTGTTTTAATTTCTATATTAACAATGATCAATTTTTGAAAACTTAAGAAAACAGCTGAAAAGAGATGTTTTTCGCTGGTGGCTCAGAACTTTTGTATAAGACTTTATACAGTACCACAATGCTTACGAAGTTTTCTCCTCCAACATACAGTATGTGCGAAAATGCAGCAACGTGTTTCCTGGCCTTTAGAGATCATAAAATCTCCTGAGAAAAGGATAGTACTAATCAATTTCGATTTGGGAGGAAAATTAACAGGAGTAATTCACTTACCAATGTAGCACAAAAGTTTTGACACCAATACATACATATATATATATATATATATAGATACACCTAGTGAGCCAGACAAACCTACCTAGGTTTCACCTAAACGGATCGTCAGGGAAAGCGAGCCACGCTTTCCTGACGATCCGTTTAGGTGAAACCTAAGGTAGGTTTGTAACTCACTAACTGTATCTAGGTTTGCTCTACGATTGTATTGAGCTCTTTTGTTAGTTAGTTGTTACTCGTATCGGGGTTTTTTCTTTGGGCTTCAGACCTGCATCTGTGCGATTTTTTTGTCGGCAGAAGTTCATGTTTGTAGCTCTTTCTTTTTTAAAACCTTTTTTCCCTCGAAATTGATTTGATTAGCAAATCAAAAATTCGAGAGTTTTTTCGAAACGAGTCTAGTTATTTATATTTTATATATATATATATATATATATATATATATATATATATATATATATATATATATATAATCCTAAGGAGCCAGGTAAACCTACCTAGGTTTCACCTAAATGGATTATCTTATATATATATATATATATATATATATATATATATATATATATATATTTAACAGTTTTTAAACACAATTCTCCATGATTTTATCTCATTCATTCCTATCTGCTAAATGCGTATCCAATGTAAAATCAACCTTGCTAACCGAACGCTCCTCTGTAACCCAATCGGTTAAGGCACGTCAGGCTATATGACAATTCCGTATAGGATACAGGTTCGATTCCTGTCGGAGGACGCATATTTTCTACGAAAATTTCTCGGACATTCAGGCCAGTAAATGTTATTAATACTGTTTATTATAAACAGAGCATTTACTTAAATATTGCTATCTATAAAAAGAACGTATAAACATAAAAATGTTATATATGTATATATATATATATATATATATATATATATATATATATATATATATTTCATTTAGATTTCTCGACTAGTTTCGGCCAGCATGGCCATCATCAGGGAGAAGAAATATTTCTGCTTGCTGGTATATATATATATATATATATATATATATATATATATACAAATAGATAGATATACAGAGAGAGGGAGAGAGAGGAGTGAAGTAGGGACAGAAAGGGGGAGATGGAGTGAGGGGGGAGGCGGGGAGAGAAGGCGGTTTTTCAACGCGGCTGATGCATTTGGAGAGAGAGAGAGAGAGAGAGAAGAGATAGAGAGAACAAAACAAACTTACTACTTTCTTCCGATGATGATGGAAGAACTTTTCTGGGTGGCATAATTGTGGTTGCACCGGAGATGTTAGCAGAAGACGGTTGAGTGGTATTTGCGGTGGTGCTCAGCCGAACCGATTGGGTGGTCGTATAGGTGGCTGATGTAGAGGTGGTACTGGTCGACGGATTATAATTGGCCTGGGTGCTACTCGGGTAGACCATGGTGCTGGTAGTATTCGAAGTTGCCGTCAACGCTTCGGCGCCACTTTGACTCAAGACACCTGAACAAGAGAGAAATAAAAAAGTCACAGCTCCATAGAATAATCAAAAAGGGCAAAACGCTCATAAGTCGAGATTTAGTCAACTTAAAAATCTGTGATACTTTTTATTTTAAAGATAGACAAGAATAAATAGAGAACAACTGATGAACATAGGGTCGTTATGTCGAGCAAACACGGTTGCTATTCAGGACACGGAAAACTGTACTACGACTACTACTACGCAGACAGGTGCGCAAAACATAACAAACTGTGTCTAAACATTATCTATCTCAGTTTAACTATCTCAGTCTATTCACTATCTATCTATCTATCTATCTATCTATCTATCTATCTATCTATCCCAGTCTTTTCATATCTATTTATATATCTATCTATCTATCTATCTATCTATCTATCTATCTATCTATCTATCTATCTATCTATCTATCTATCCCAGTCTTTTCATATCTATTTATATCAGTCTGCGCATTATCTATCTATCTATCTATCTATCTATCTATCTATCTATCTATCTATCTATCTATCTATCTATCTATCCCAGTCTTTTCATATCTATTTATATCAGTCTGCGCATTATCTATCTATCTATCTATCTATCTATCTATCTATCTATCTATCTATCTATCTATTTAGATAGATAGATAGATAGATAGATAGACATTTCAACGGTTTATTTCGTAGCTGACATCGCCGTGAAACTCTCCGACACTCTCCACCCGTTTTCACAACAAACAGTTTTTTTTCTACTTGAAATACTGACGCAATGCGTTCTTACTCTCCCTATAACATTCAGTGCCTTCACTCAGTAATAAACATATTAGAAATTAACCATTTAAAATCATAGCTTCTCTGCCCAGCCATAAGAAACTCTTCCCAGTAACCAATTCTCCATTTCTTGGGAGATACGTGCTTTATACTAACCACTGCGATGTCAACTCTTTGTTCAATTCTGTTAACATCGTTTCACATCCAATCGATGCGATATAATAAATCATAGAGCGGCAGAAAGTAACATTATTCCCCGTGATCTCGTCTTACAAGTCTCGCGTCGACGAGACTGTTAAGAGTGACGAGAATAGTGATAAGAATCATATTATTGACAGCGTCTCGCTGGGCCACGCGTTAGTTATCAATAGGTAATGGCGGCGTTTTTCTTACATAAAGAATATATTATTATAGCGACATTTTTAGTTGGTTGCCTCGCGTTGAACAGCGTTCCAATGTGTTTACTTGCTTGTGAAATCATTTATTTAAAGACTGGGCCGTTTGAAATAAACAGACAAGTGCTGATTGGAAAGGAATAGGAAAGGAGGCGGAGTGGGGGGAATGAGGTTTTGCTTGAGTCTCTTGGGTGTCGGGACAGCGAAAAATTAAAAGAAATTTAAAAGGAAAAGAAAAAAAGAAAAAAAATGAAGAAGAGAGAAGGAAGAAAGACAAAACGGAAGAAAGAAATGGGCACAAGTCAGCGCCAAGAAGATAGGGATACAGTACAACGGAAATTATACGAGTCGCTCGCACTCACGGCCAACCTCATTCTGTTCATATCTATCTATCTATCTATCTATCTATCTATCTATCTATCTATCTATCTATCTATCTCAGTCCATATCTATCTATCTATCTATCTATCTATCTATCTAACTATCTATCTCAGTCCATATCTATCTATCTATCTATCTATCTATCTATCTATCTATCTATCTATCTCAGTCTGTTCATATCTATCTATCTATCTATCTATCTATCTATCTATCTATCTATCTATCTCAGTCTGTTCATTATCTATCTATCTATCTATCTATCTATCTATCTATCTATCTATCTATCTATCTATCTCAGTCCATATCTATCTATCTATCTATCTATCTATTATCTATCTATCTCAGTCCATATCTATCTATCTATCTCAGTCTTTTCATATCTATCTATCTATCTATCTATCTATCTCAGTCTGTTCATTATCTATCTATCTATCTATCTATCTATCTATCTATCTATCTCAGTCTGTTCATATCTATCTATCTATCTATCTATCTATCTATCTATCTATCTATCTATCTATCTATCTCAGTCTGTTCATTATCTATCTATCTATCTATCTATCTATCTATCTATCTATCTATCTATCTATCTCAGTCTGTTCATTATCTATCTATCTATCTATCTATCTATCTATCTATCTATCTATCTCAAATCCCTTCATATCTATCTATCAATTTCAGTCTATTCTATCACAGCCTGTTCATATCTATCTATCTATCTATCTATCTATCTATCTATCTATCTATCTATCTATCTATCTATCTCAGTCTGTTCATTATCTATCTATCTATCTATCTATCTCAGTCCATATCTATCTATCTATCTATCTATCTATCTATCTCAGTCTGTTCATATCTATCTATCTATCTATCTATCTATCTATCTATCTATCTATCTATCTATCTATCTCAGTCTGTTCATATCTATCTATCTATCTATCTATCTATCTATCTATCTATCTATCTATCTATCTATCTCAGACTGTTCATATCTATCTATCTATCTATCTATCTATCTATAAATTTGGGCACCTTGGAAGATATCTATCTATCTATCTCATTTTGTTCATATCGTTACACCTCTGTTCATATCTATCTTATCTAAATACGAAGTGAGATAGATAGAGCTAGAGAGAGAAAGACAGAGAGAGAGAGAGAGAGAGAGAGAGAGAGGGAGAGAGAGAGAGAGTTAAAGAAAAGAATAAAAGTGAGAGAGTGTGTGTAAGTGTGAAAATAAAAGGCATTATTATGGAGTCTAACACTTAAATTGTCATTAATTATATTAAAGGAATTCTGTTTTCTTTTCTCGCTCGCATTCATTTTGCGTAGCACCCCCACGCCCTGCTCTCGATTTTACCCTTACGCCACACCCATTCCGGTACTCATCGTCGGATACTGAGTGTAAAATCGCCGGGTGTGGCTACACTTATGTTTGCAGTTTTGGCGTAAGTCCGTTTGAAAGAACGGAGATGCTATCGTTGGCTAGGGGCCATTGACAAGAGCAATTCGTTCGGAAATTTCTCTGCGAAATCAATTAAGAACTTTTAATCAGTTCAATTGTTGTAAAGAATTCAGTGTTTTTGTCACGACATATTGGTTGCTGCCTCATCCGTTGCCGACTCAACAGAAACCGGTAGGACCTGGTTTCCCTCGGGGGTCAAATGCTCAGAAAAAAGAAAAATAGAAAAAGCTGGCAAGTAATAAATGTTGGCCCAAAAGCAGTAAGAAGCACCATTAGAACAAAGGAGAGAAAATTACATTTGGTTGAAAAGATTTTAAGCTTCGGAAATATTTATAAGCGAAATTTTCACGTTTTTTTTCTTCATTTTAACGTTTCTTTTGTTTATTTCTCTTTTTTTTTCTTTTTATCATTTTTCTTTTTGTTCTCTTTCACTTTGATTTTCCAGTTTTACATCGTTTATTCTTTCTTTCTTTCTTTCTTTTCTTTCTTTCTTTCTTTTCTTTTTTTTTCTTTTCTAACTCCTTTCCTTTCCTTTTCTTTCTTTCTTTCTTTCTTTCTTTCTTTCTTTCTTTCTTTCTTTCTTTTCTAACTCCTTTCCTTTCCTTTTCTTTCTTTCTTTCTTTCTTTCTTTCTTTCTTTCTTTTCTAACTCCTTTCTTTCTTTCTTTCTTTCTTTCTTTCTTTCTTTCTTTCTTTCTTTCTTTCTTTTTTTTTTCCTTTCTTTTCTTTCTTTCTTTCTTTCTTTTTTCTTTCTTTCTTTTCCTTTCCTTTCCTTTCCTTTCCTTTCCTTTCTTTTTCTTTCTTTTTTTTTTATTTCCTTTCCTTTCCTTTCTTTCTTTTCTTTCTTTCTTTCTTTCTTTTCTTTCTTTCTTTCTTTCTTTCTTTTTTTAACTCCTTTCCTTTCCTTTCCTTTCCTTTTTTCTTTCTTTCTTTCTTTCTTTCTTTCTTTCTTTTCTAACTCCTTTCCTTTCCTTTCTTTCTTTCTTTCTTTCTTTCTTTCTTTCTTTCTTTCTTTCTTTCTTTCTTTCTTTCTTTTCTAACTCCTTTCCTTTCCTTTTCTTTTCTTTCTTTCTTTCTTTTCTAACTCCTTTCCTTTCTTTCTTTCTTTCTTTCTTTCTTTCTTTCTTTCTTTCTTTCTTTTGTAACTCCTTTCTTTTTTTTTTCTTTCTTTCTTTCTTTCTTTCTTTCTTTCTTTTTCTTTTCTTTTTTCTTTCTTTCTTTCTTTCTTTCTTTCTTTCGTTCGTTCGTTCCTTCCTTTCTTCCTTTCGTTTCTCCTTCCGTCCTTCCTTCCTTCCTAATGTTCTTTCTTTCTTTCTTTCTTTCTTTCTTTCTTTCTTTCTTTCTTTCTTTCTTTCCCGCTTCTTTTTCTCTCCCTTTCTCCTTCTATCATTCTTCTTTCATTTTTTTTTCATTTTTTTTTTCCCGTTTTTCTTGTTTTCCATTCTTTTGTTTTATCTTTTCTTTCTTCTTTTGATTTTCGCATCTTTTTTCTGTCCTTTTTTTTTTTATTTTTCTTCCTCTTCCTATCAATTTTCTTTCAATTTTTCTTTCGTTTTTTTCTTTGCCGTTTTTCTTCTTTTCTTTTTTCTTCTTTTCTGTTTCGCATCCTTTTTCTGTACTCTTTAAAAATATTTCCTTCCTTCTTTCGTGAGGAAGTCAACAATCAATGTTCAACTTCAATGTTCTTTTTATATATATATATATATATATATATATATATATATATATATATATATATAAGTGAATATATATATAAGTGAATATATATATATATTTATATATATATATATATATATATATATATATAAAAGTGAACATTGAAGTCAACAGGCTGTTTCATGCTAGACGAACTCGTCAGGCGGCTCTGATATTGAGCACTTTATCCCATAAATATAGCACACCATAAAACTATATTTCCTTATATATATATGTGTGTGTG